ACAAAACTAAGTAATATGCTCATGACAAAAAGAAAAAAAAGAAACAGATTTAGAATATTTTAGATATGAAAACAATTTCGACTGAATTTTATTTAGTTATTCTTCTACTTTTATTAATATTTATTATAAATACATTACATATAGTTTATTTAACTATTTATAAACATAATCAACAAATCAAATCTATTCGTTTAATATTAATTAATTCATCATTATCATCATTAATTGTTTCTATATGGCTTATACCATTCTTTTATTTTCATACAATATGGTCACCAGAATCTATATCATGGCGTTTGTGGTCATTTGTTTTTCATATTGTTGATGCTGTACAACTTTATTCTCTTGTTTTGTTAATAACTATTCGTTCGTTTCAACGAATATTTATTTGTTTTATATGGTTAGCACCTATAATTGCATATTCACCATTATTATGGTTAAATTCACCATATGATGAAATCGATTATTTACCTTATCGAAGATTAACTATGAATGTTCCATGGTGGATATTTCCAATACTTTATTTTAGTATGTATTTTATTCCAATAATTATTTCATTTGTATTAAGTAGTATTCATATTTGTTGGCCTTTAATTTATTATTATTATTATAAAAAACAAAAAAACAACATTATTCATGATCAAGATATGAATGAACATCATAAAGATATGATAGAATTAAAAAATCTTATTGACACGGTATTCAATTTCCAATTAGAAGAATCAAAAAATAAATCATTAGACACATTTAATGTAAATATAAAATTATGAAAGAAAAAGAAAAACAAAGAAACTAATTATTTTTCTTTATCTTATTTTATTTTTTTGTAGACATGCACATCTTCATGTTCAAAACCATTATCGAATAACTTTAATCAACCATTACCATATAAAGTTGATCAACATGAATCTTTTTTTCTATTTGATGAGCTTTCAACATCTCCATTAATTCGTTCATCATCAACACAAACAAAAGATTACATTGAACAACCACTTAATGCTTGTCTTTTATTTATCGTCACATGTCTTTTATTACTTGTACATTTACCTTATATACTTTTATCTTTGTTTGATGTGTCACCATTACGATTATCAACATTTATCTATATACATTGGTGCGGAGCATTATTTATACCATTGATACATATTAAATAGAATATATCTTCTGTAGTAACAAAAAAAATAGAATTTTAAAAATTTGAAATAAATTAATCGTAGTCTTTGCATGTTTTTTTTTTTTTTCAAAAAATTAAAATCGATAAAAAGAGAATGTATATGAAACAAAAATAAACATGATGTTGATTGTCTATTATTATTTGAAGATAGTTTTAAATTAAAAATACACAATAACCAAAGCCATTGATTCTTTGTTCTTTTATTTGATATTCTTATTACAGAATGTTTGCTGCTCTTGACAAATTTGTTTTAAATTTTTACACGTTCGAACTATTCATATTGAAAAATGATTTAAAAATAAATTAATATTTGTTCATTAAACGTATTTGATTGTCGACATTTATTCGAACATTGATATTCTTCATCAATCGTTGACTACTTTCATAGAGTTTTACCTTATGATTCTTCTTATTTCGTAAATCTCAATTAGATGTACAAATTGAAAATTTTAATCGCCGAGAATTATTCATAATCATTCATGCAGATCAAAAGTGATAGTTTGAAAATGGAAAACGAATATTGATTGACGATCAGTGAATACATATTGTTTTACGTCAAAACTGAGCTACGATCTAACTATTGCATTTGGATCAATCGAAGAAACTTTTCAAAATTCGATTAGTATGAAATTTTGAATGAACAGAGAATTGAAAGTTATATTTCGGATTATATTCTACTGCATTACAAGTTTAATCATAATCCAGCACAAGAATCGATCAGAGCTCGTATCGTTGATCTCATCAGTTTCAAACGAAATTTGTCGAAACTCAAGTTATTTATCAACAACAAACATCAATCAATCAAGTTGAAAACGGCACCTATCTATTGTCATATTGTGTCTCATATGTCTAGTAGTATTCGATTCACTGATGTTTCTAATATAATTAGAAATTATCAATAGAATACATGGACCGTAGTTATTCAAATCTTGAATATGAGAACAACATGTACTCCTGAGTCGGCAAAGAATCAAAGTATTCATCTTCTGAAGAAAATTAGAATCACACGGAGATATACATCTTTATTAGAGATCAATCGAATCGGACTCGGCTCTGAAAGATGTTGATCATGAAAATGAATAAATTTTTTGTCTTTTTTTTTCTTGTTAATATAATGGCTGACATTTTTTTTTACTATGAAATCTTCTACAGATAGACTGTTGTTTTAGATGATGAAATTATAATTGAATTTTTAACGTACGCCGCATTAGATAGTACTGTCGCGAATTCTCTCCAAGGTCTCGCCTTATAAATCAATTCAGGTCTTTATGAATTATATGGTAACGTATCTAGGTGTCATGATTCATGGGAATATCTGACATTTTCTTGTATTACATTGCTCTTCAGGGAGGAAAAGAAAGCTGTTGATAACCATTATAAATTGGCATACGTGCTTTATTTAGTTTCTTTATCATTCATCAGAACGTGCCCTTACATTGACGGCGTCACTATGATAATTAGGTATGACTTTGAGCAATGATCATACTCAGGAATATTTTATTTATTGAATTTTCTTTCTCACACGTTTTCTGTAACATTATCAAACATGTTTAATACCATATAGTAATACGTGATAGTAATTATTGGATTGTGATTAGATACGTACAAAAAAAGCCTAGAAATTCAATTTTTTAATGCTTAGATGTCTCCTAAAGAAAATGAAAGTCAAATATTCGAACAGCTCGTTGAAAAGTGTATACACGCTTAATTTTCATTTTGAAAAGTCTTTCTATATTTGTAAAAATATCTAACACACCGTTTTTTTGGGTGCATTCTTACAGAATGATTTTATTGCCGGTTGCGACGAAAACATCATGCGTCATGTTTACTTTAATGACGAAATATTCTTGAGTGAGATTTGATCTGAAATATTGATCCATCGGATAAGTGAAAGTTAATCGCATTTTTACGACTAAACATAAGAACTATGACCATGACATTTGAGAAGATCAAATTTGTATTTGATGCCATTCTTTTGTGAGCTTGAAAACTGAATCTTTCAATGTTGTCTCCATAACATATTTTTTGTTTTTCGATTCCACTTTCAAGTTCAAATTCATTGCATTTAGTATCAATATTTTTCTATACTTACAAAGTGAAACTGATGGTTTAGTCTAACATTGAAAATAGTCTCTTCGATTCAATCATAAGGCAAAATTCTGGTCAACTTCATACTGCATAAGAGAGCGTAACATGGTTTCTTCTCTGACATAGTGCGATCTCAACGTCACAAGATTGTGCTACATATTCATACATGAATAAAGTACTCATATTTAAATTCGCTCCTCATTTTTGAGAAAAAAAAACATTTGTTATCAAAGGATGAAACAGACAACATAATCTGGCCCAATAGTAGTTACCACAATAAAAGCTTCACATATTGATCAGATAAGATTTCAAAGAACAGTAAGGAAAAAGTTGAAAACTACGTTTTAGTTCTTGTGACTGCTGAATCTTCATGAAGAGAATCATCTTGTAACTCTGACTCTATGAAAACTTTTTGGATCGTTCAAGATTTATTTTCTCTGAAAGATTCAGAAGGCTCCGTTGAAGCTTCCTCAACAAGCTAAAGAAAGAGATTTTCTTGAATTGGCATGGGGTTGAAGGCATTAAAGAAAATAACAGTCATTTTTCGATATTTTGTGCATATGCATATCTCATGAATGGAACTTGTTGGAGAGCTAAAGTTTTAGGAATCGAGTGATCTTATGAAGTACTTACTGTGATAAGAAATTCAGCTCTCTAGATAGTTCTTGTCGCTTAGAGAACTTCTTACAAAATAATGAATTTGACAGGGTTTGATCTTCTTTAATATGCACTCAACAGAAGTCCAGCTCATATAATTTTAAAGGACATACTAACGTGAACACTACAAAGTTATGCAAGAACTAGTTTAGAACCTTATAGAATGACCTGGAAAGCCCTTTATTGAAAAATACCACCAAATGACTTTTTTTTCGTGTAGCTACTAATACAATCAACCCATCAACAGGGCATTCATCTGAATTCATTTTTGTCTGATAAATACATCAACTTAAGTTGTGTATACAGTAGAAACTTCAAGCCAAATCAATATATTTCTGGTGAGATATCAATGCCACAAAATAATCACAAAATATGTGCTTTTCTGACGGTAGTATCCTCAGAAAAGCTTTAATATCGCGAGAATAGAACAATATATTTTCAAACGACTGTTTCAAAATTCTTAAAAACTATTTCTTCTACAACATATATTAAATTCAGTAACTTCTGTGGAAGTCGATCGTGGCTTCTCTGAACTGATTCTTATACACCTAATCTGTCAATCTCTTAAAATTTCAATAACTCATTTCAAACTTGCCATCAGCAGCTCGTATTTTTTATTTCATAGTGTCTCAATGAGAGCGATAAATTGACCCGAAGATAATTAATTAAATCAAGTGATATGACGAACAGTTTCATTGTAAAATAGATATATAAACAAAAAGACGAGCTTCTAAGTTCTTAAAACATAATAACTTTCATCAATAGTCTTTTTTCATACTATTTATCTTCGTCATTTGTTGTTTTTTCTTATCATTTTAAACTCAAGCGGTACACATTTTATTTCAAATATGTGATTGTGCTTTTAAGTACTATTTGCGCATGATGACAATATAAGTTAAGCTTAGTAAATATTTATTCATAACCATTTAGATAAATAAAATTGAGAATTTTTTTTTGTAATGAAAATAATATGTCAAAAAGAATGAAAAAATTCACAGAAAAAAAAGAATATCATTATAAAAGAAAAATTTGTTTTTATTACATCAATGGCCATTATTTTTTTATTGTGATATTATCTCAATTATACCAATATATTTGTTGTTGATTCCACTTTTGAAAGATTGGAAAAATTTTCATTTTTATCCATTGTATTTTCATCATCGTCAGTTTGAACTTGTTCATCACTTTGAATTTCTTGATCAGTATCAAGATTTAATTGTGGTTTACGTATATTCCAATGAAGTATATCAGCTAATGATTGAAACCAATCACCTACTTGATCAAATCGACAAATACATGGTACTGGATAAACACTTGTTGTTATTTTTACACTGAATATAAAAGAAAAATAAAACAGAAAAAAATAATTTTTTAATTTTAATTATTAATTTACCCTTCACGTTGATGTAATTCAAGTTGATTTCTTCCATCAATTGAAAGCCATGCACTTATACGAGTATCTTGAGATACTTTCAGTGTAAGTTCAATACCAGCTGGAATAACAATTGGACGAAACGATAAGGAGTGTGGACATATAGGACAGATCACCATTGCAGGAACATTTGGATGAACCATTGAAGCACCAGCTAAAAATCTTTAATTAATATTCAAAATTAAAAATATAACCATAGAAACATACCAGCCATTGCATAAGCTGTAGAACCAGTAGGAGTCGAAATTATTAAACCTTAAATAGAATAATATTATTATTGTATACTGGCGTCGAACGAGACTTTATAATGTACATAGACAATTGAATACATCAGGATACTAATTTTTTAAATATTCTACATATAGAATGACACTCAAAATTGATCATTTTGTTTTCCCAATAACTCAAGACAAGTGCAATAAATTGAGGTGTAACTGTTTGACAAAATGTTGTTTATCTTTCACAGTTTATTTCCTTCGAAGATCATTTCTATACACCGTAAACTTGCTGTACTAGATAAAGATATACTAAAAATAATATTCTTTTGATTTGCCTCAAAATTTATCGTATATTTCATACAACAAATAGAATCTTGTAAAGAAAACATATTATAAAGATGTTTTAATTATGAAAATTTCATTGAAACATTGTACGAAATAAATCTTTTTATCTGTTCGAAATCATAAAATCTATGACACTAGTTTTGATTCACTTACCATCACCTTGTACTTTCGTAATAAACTTATCATTAATATATAAATCAAGATTTGATAAATATGAATTTGGTCCACGATCAATAACAACTTCATTTAATGCTAGATGAGTGATATCATCAATATTATTTAATGTAGTTGTTTCATTTGTTTGTGAAGAAGAATCTGATGCATCTGATGGAGATAAATTATTTGAATCGTTTTTAATAGTTGTACAATTTAAACGTGTTCGTAATAAAACAGCTACTTTGCCAGATAATACTTCATTTAAAATATTTTCATGAAATTGAAAATCAAATGGTGTTAAAAATCCCAACGATCCCATAGAAAATGATAATACAGGTGGACAACTTTTTTGAAATACACTTGAAGCATGTAAAAGAGTACCATCACCACCCAAACAAATAACTAAATCAATCTTACATGGATCATTTTCTAAATAAAATATTTAAAAAAGAATTAAAATCAATAAAACAATCGACTTTAAATACTTTGATCAAATGGAATACATTGTTCAACACTTTCGTATAAATCAACATCATTAGCCGATAGTAACTGGTCTCGATCATAAGATTCAACAAAAACATTGAGATGACGCTAAAATATATGATCAAAAATAAAGATTTCAGCTAATTTAACACTATTGATTCTATCAATAAATACTCTATGAAAGTCATAACGAAATATAAAAAGCTTAGAAAAATTCTCTTTTGATTGCTTCGAATCTGAAATATTAATCTAATAAATTCAAAATAGAATAATGCTCTCGGTGGCGTAGCCAAGATTTTTGTACATGCTGGATTTCAGCTTCAGAGCATAGGATCCAGATGAAACTTATGGAGGGTGATATTGGACCCAAATGATGAGTTTTTATGAAAAATTTTTTTGCGACCGGAGCTTGCGAAAAAAATCTTTTTTTTTCTTAGCTCCCCTAAAATTTTTTTTGCTTTTGGTAGTATTCCATTTTTTAGAGTTTAGTCGTAATCTACATCGAATTTCATCGACAGATTTAAAATTTTATCTGAAAATATGTATGCGTTCAAAAGTTACAATGTTTTGAATTTTTACAACATGTCGCAAAAATTTTCATAAAAATTCAAAACGTTATAACTTTTGAACGGATGCATATTTTGAGNAACTGCTTTCTAAACTATGTGAAAGAAAAAAAAAAAGAAAACAAAAAGAAAAAAGAGAGGGGGTGGGGGGGGGGGGGGGGGGGGGGGGGGGGCGGAAGTATACTCACGATATTGATCTTTTTATTTGAATGGAACGAGATTAAAAGAAAACAAAACTAAATTAGACATCATAAACAATGTCTAGTATCTGCAAAAAAAATTTGAATTCTATCAATCGTATTACAGCTGAGAAAGTGAAAGGATTAGCAGAAGAGCAAGGTGACATTTAATCTTTGCGACACCGATATCTTTTGGAAGGACGTCTTTGGTAATTTTGAGTCTATGGCAACCTTTGTTCTATTCGTTGACATCTATCTACCTTAAAAATTTCAATATTTTCTAATGAGATTTTCTTTAAAAATACTGGAAAGAAAGTGAATAGGATTCTACTCAAACGTATAGTATAAATAGTAATTGTGTCATGTAAACATACAGTAGGCTATGAATGACATTGAATAATTGTTGGAATATGGATAAGAATACGTATTGACGAATATTTTTGGTTGTTGCTTGTATAGGTCAAAAAACTTCAGATTCTGATTGAATATAACATAAAATACCAGAAAGAAATAGATTTATGGAATGTTTCCTTTTTATTTTAGAACTTTTTATTATATATACTTCAATTATAACAGGAAGAAAAAATAAGTTGTAAGAATGCCGGTGCAGAATAATTAAACTCAGTAATGGTGATGTCTTTTAAGCAATTGAAAACATCACTGTCACACAAATGAGTTTTCATTCCATAGTGATAGATGTCGACAAATTACAGCATAATTATCCATATGTATCTAGCTTTTCTTAAGATGTGCATGAAATTTAATATAAAAAAAAAAATTATTTCGAGAATTCTATTTATCGAATATTATACTCAATTAAGATTATATACATTATTGTATCTGAATTTGAAATATTATTCATAAACGTCGATTACATAATTGCTAAAATTTTGATAAGAATCTTTTCAAGTTTTTTAAATTAATTGCAACCGATTTTGCAGAATTCATTTATTTCTATAGAAAATTTCGAACATATAAATCAAGAATTGTTATAATATTTATTTTCTTTTTATTCCACTAAAAATTTTTGTTTAATTTTATAAATGAAAAGTTTTAATTGCAATCGAGTATTTTTTTTTTTACATCCAACATAAAAATCTATATAACATTCACCGCTGCAATTTGAATTAAGGATAAGAAAAAATATGACATTCGTTGACATTTTATTCTTTTTTCTTCCTTAATTAACTCACACTAAAAGAATCTTCAGGAGTCCGAAGAAAAACTTTCCGAAAAATCGCCGTTAAGATTTCACTAGAGATTCACTCTGGATTTGTTAGGGGTTGTTCGAAAGCCTATGATAAGAGTTATGATATCTGTAAACTGTCTTGCACCATGTCATTATCATCGTATTCACATGTGCCACTCGTCAGTGAGGAAGTGATGACTTCCTCTTTCGTCCTTCATTTCCTGAATATAAAAATCCTAATTAGTTTCTTTTTAAATAGCACCTACCTTTGCAGTTATCTTCGAGATTAACTTAAATGATAACAATAGATTTCGTTTTTTGAAATAGAATTTACCGTTGAATTTATTATTACTTGTAATCGAAATAGGAAAAAAAATTAGAATTGATCTCCTGATATTGATATCACCTCCCGCTAATATTCCTTTCCTCTTTATCCTATCTCTATTGTTCTTTCCTGTTGCTCATTTCTCTCTCTTTTGCTCTATCCTATACAAGCATGGATTATATATGAAGTAGAGACATTCTGGAAATGTGAAATAACTACATAAATACCATTACCAAGCATGACGTTAAGGTACTTATTCAGTTTGTCGTTACAATAGTCTTTTTAAATATTTTTAGTAGTTTTGTATGATAGAAGTTTCTAGTAAGGTATGCATTCTATAGCATATTCGATGCTCTATTTCGTACAATCAATATATCTTTTGACATAAGTCGTTAGTCGAATATTATTCCAGACAATTCAGATCTGTTGCTAAGTTTATCTACGTTGAGTCAAGATTTTTGAAAGCTTTCCTAATTCATGATCCTGTCAAACTCGAAAATAAAATATAAAGACTTAAAATTAATATCACGAATCAATATATAAAATTCTAGATTGGGTGTGTGGCTGTGTAGGTAAAAATAAGAGATTAAGAGAAGGTGACTTCTTTTAAAACATGTCTCTTTGTAAAGCATCTCTTGAGATGAAAAATAAAAAATTGTGTATTTATTTTTTTGCAATTTGTTAATCAACTAGTTTTTTGTAACAATTAAAACTCCATGTCATCAGGATCTACAAGACTTAAAAAAAGAATTTGAAAATGGGAAGCAACTAACAAATAAAAGCACAATACAAGCTTTCTCAAATCGACAGAGTCTTGCGGTAGACGCGCCGAAGAAAGTCGGTTTGTCTCAAAGACTTCATTGCTCCATGTGGAATAGGATCAAATGGTCGAAAGGAGTTTTACTGATCGGTAAAGAAAGTGCGAATCAGAGATGTTGGCGGGTTGACCCGTTTTCGTTCAACCCGCCCGCGGTTTAGGGGCCGGATCAGACCTCTGACGGGTTACGGGTTTACGGGTAGTTGTTTTCTCGTTTTACGGGTTTCACGAGCCGGGTTATATTTTTCCGAGAACCCGCGGGTTCAACCCGGTTCAACCCGCTTACAGGTTTCGCATTTCAATGCTTTCAGCCTTCATTTCTTTTCTGCTATGTATGTTTACGGTCACTATTTACAAACTGTCTTCGTTCATCCACCGGTTTAGCAGCTTTTACTGTTTCTTTCATTTTCCAACGCGTGAATTCTTTCTAATTTTTTTTTCTTTACATAGTCATTCCAGTGATTCATTCATTTGTTTTCTAGCAGGCGCACATAAAGGATCATGCAAGATTCTGGATATATTTTGTTTTTGACATTACTCTATGACTAAATGGCGTAGAGGTTTCATTGTTTTTTTTAGTTAGAAACAGCAGTGTCTAATGCAAATATTCACGAAAGAATTCGATTGAAATTAGTGTTGCAAGATCAGACATATTGTAAAACAAAAGTTTTTAGAAAATTCTCTCTCAAAGTTTTTGCACTTTGAGAAGATTTTATCGAGTTAGATCAATTACATAATCTTTCTTCGAATGCAATGTGTAAAAGTGAGGATCTAGCGCTATTGCTTTATAGAAAACAAGAAACCCTGCATGTTCTATAAGAATCATGCTAAACGCTTTTATTGCCTTTTAGCATTGGTACTTTCCACTTCAGTTGGTTACAGTGGTCAAAATGAAGTCTGGTGGGAGAGAAAAGTTGCCACAGGTTATAGCTTTTGTATCAAAAAGAAAGCTTATAAATTTCTCTGCCAAGCCGTATTACTAGAAACAAGATAGAAACTCTGTGAGAGGTATTAAGTCAAATATTTTTTGAAAATCCAATTTGATCAAATGAAATTTCTAAATGGTACTATCTTCTATAAATTCTCTTGTATGACAGATCAATTGTCTTAATACCGCATGAAAGCCATTATAATAATGCACTGCTGTATAAATAATGTGTTTTGAAAGACCGACAGTGGATAATGAAGCAGCTCAAAATATATTCTAATAAAAAAATTATCACCTAATTTGCGGAAGAATTTTCTGATGTTTTTGTGGATAATATTTTCCAGCCTTTGAAAAAATTTCCATTCAAATTCTTAGATATATTTTTGCAATAAATACTATGGTCATGATAACAAGAAAAACAAGGAAATCTACGATATTCTGTCACGGTTCTGTTTAAAAACATACAGAACTGTTGTATCATCTATCCTAAATTCGGTTTTCTCTCAAGTTTTGTTTATAGGATGTGAAGAAAAAGAAGGGCCGCATCTACGATACCTCAAACAGTATGTGCTATATTAACATTGTACATTTGATCAAATTTTGTTAATTTTCTTGGACTTTAATTGAGATTTTGTAATGCTTATGAATATGCTCAGAAATAAATTAAATAATATTCTAATTATAAAAATATGAGTTTCACAGGTAAAAAACAAATGAGTCAGTGAAAAACTAATGAATTTGTCAATAAATACTACACGAATAAAGTTTTCATTAACCCGCGGGTTAGCCCGCGGGCAGCCCGTGGCGGGTTGAAGAATTACTAACCCGTCACAGGTTGGCACGGATCGAAAAAAAATCATTCAATCCGTGAAGCGGGCTGGGTTCGATTCCCAACGGGTCGGGTTGACGGGTCGGGTCAAAAAAAAAGAAACGACCAACATCTCTGGTGCGAATTGGTTATCCTGGTCGCCTGCGTATCAGATGTGGAGATTATTGTTGTGATGATCTCTCAAACATTTGGTGAATGCTACCGAGTTGTATTGGTGTTGGCGAGCGCTGTATGTGGCAATTTTTCGGAGCTCAAAAGTCTTCTCCTTACGCTCTCTCCTGGTGATAGTCTGTCGATTGCTTATCCCTGTTGACATAGACTTTGGACGAGTCAGTGGATTGTTGCAGTTTAATGGTTGCATGACCATCACTCTACTCAGTTGTCATATCGAACCTGACTGATGTTCCTGCGGTCTGTGAGTGTTGTCATGTGCTCCCTAACTCATCTACCTATAACTTAGACTCTTCTGTAATCTTCTAGCATTCCTGCCGGTCACCTTTGATTACCAGATGATACATCATAACACCAACAAGTGTCCTTTGTGACTGGTCAGTCATAAAGAAATCAGTTGAAGGTACCTACATGGCTTGATCTGCACATTCACAAGCAAGCAAACAGAAGGTTCTGCTGATATTATCATACGTGATGGTTGTCCTTCTCCAAACGATCCTAGGAGAAATATTTACAGTCGGATCAATCATTTTCATATGCACTTGTTTTGAAGAAAGAGCTCCGATAATAGGATCAAGATGTGGGTCATCTCTTCACACACCGTACACTCTGACATATTTTATCCTTCTTTTCCTCTCTGAATCAATTGTCTCTGCATATATTTTCTACACAATTTGTACCAAATTTTTTTCTGTTATCTAAAATTAAAAGAAAGTTATACTCATTAAAACACAAAATTCCAGTCGTCTAAGTTATTTTACTCCTGCTTATTCTATATAAATTAATATGATTACTTGTCCTGTTTTAGTATATTCGAATTTGACAATGATCAATTAAACGATTTAGACTCGTGATTATTTAGGAAAAATTATAAGGACGTTTTTTTTTTCAAGGAAAATTCTAAGGGAGAACAAGCTAATTGAAATCAAGAATTTGTTTACTCAACCTTTTTTTACGAAATAATTGTTTTATATTTTCAGAGAAATATCTTAAATTATCAAATCATCCTTATGTCAAAACTATTTTGGTTGTTTAAACTCTACCCAACAACAATAAATACAAAAAAAGATTTTCTTTTCTAAGTCTTTATTTCAGACATATCCAAGTTTCTATATGTTTCCAGTCTGAAGATCGAATTAATTGCACAGGTATCTAACAGTTGATTTTCTAATTTTATCTTCATTTTTGATCTTTATACATCTAATGATTTTATTGAGCCTAGCAAAGTAGGAGAAAATATCTTAATACACTCAGTCTGCTGTGCTGATATCAAGTTGTGTGATAAAATTTAACGTTCATACCATTTTGTTTATAATGAGTTTCTCTTACGCATCTCAACAAAACAAAAGCCTTTTATCTGACGAAAGAAAAACTGCATGCAATGAATTTAAAAATTAATGATCATCAAAGATATTGTGCTTCTTTCTTCATATATGATCGATATACATTAATTTGTTTTTCTCCAAGTAATCTAAAACAACAGCTTTTAAAATGCGAAATAAAGAAATAATTGAAATCAAAACTTCACGGAAAATATATGAAATCAATTTTTAAATAAGATAATGGTTAAACAAGCAAAACGAATTAAAACTATTAGTAAAGGTCTTCTTCTTTCTTATAAATTATGTACACTTGACTGTTTGATCCATGATATACTGAAATTCAAATAACGTTGATCTTTGAAATTTTCATTAAAGTGATTTTTCGAGTTCGATCAGACAAAGACTTGAAAAATGATAATACCGAATTTATACTTGAATAGGATAAAATATATAATTATAAAAAGTTAGTGGACTATAAAAGATCATCCCCATATGGACATCGACATAATTC